TCACTTTAGTTTGACCTCTGTCTGAAAGCTGTACTCTTTAACTCCCCTCCTCCCTCCTTTTATGTTTTTGATATCGTATCTAATCTCTTTTTTGTGCATTTGTATCCGTTACGTTCTTATCATGGAAATAGATAATTTTTCCTATTTGTGGTCTTCTCTTTTCCCCTTAAATCAGTCCCTTTAACATTTCTTGTAGCACCGGTTTCTTGGTGACAAACTCCTTTAATTTTTGCTGGTCTGGGAAATTTTTGATCTCTTCTTCCATTTTGAATGTTAACCTTGCTGGGTAGAGTATTCTTGGCTAAGACTGCTTACTTTAGATTTAAAGATTGCATGGGCCGGCTCCGTGGCTTGGCGGTTGAGGGCGTGCGCTCTGATGCTGGCGGCCCGGGTTCGGATCCCGGGCGCACCCCGGGGCACCACTTCTCCGTCCAACGCGAGGCCGAGTCCCACGTACAGCAACTAGAAGGATGTGAACCTACGACATACAACTGTCTACTGGGGCTTTGGGGGGAAAAAAATGAATAAATAAAATCTTTAAAAAAAAAAAAAAGATTTAAAGATTGCAAACTAGTTGGCTGCACCACTCAAAAATTTTTAAATTAGTTGCCAGTGTTTAAAACTGGGTATTTCGTGTAGAATCCGATTGCAGGTTGTCTAAGCACATGGGGCACTTTGGGAGCCCTGGACCCAAGCCCTGCAGGGTGCCCCGGTTAAACAGGTGCCGAGGCTTGTGGGCCCCTGCCTGGGCCCGGACGGAGCAGAGGAGGCAGGGCCCCTGGCAGACAGCCCCTGTCTCCACCCTCAACTATGTGGTTTTCCCATGGTGTCCCTGGGGTTTGTAGAACAGGAGCTCCCAGAGGAAGTGGTGCCTGAGGTGGCTCCTGGATCCGCAGTGGGCGCAGGGTCCTCACGGCAGCGGGCGCTCATGGGGGGGCTTCACTCAGACTCAGTGAACTCCGGGTCCCCTGCTCTTCTGCCTCTGGGGGCTCTGGACCGCCTTTCTCTTGCAACTTCTGCTGGGAGCCATTTGTGCCCTTCACGACTGCTCCAGGCCTTCCCATCCTCCAGCTCCCTGCCCTCTGCCACCTGCGTGTCCTGGCTCCAACCCCTGAGGCAGGCCTGGAGGACGTCAGGGGCCTGGACTCCCGGTCCAGGAGATACGGGGTTGCTTCCTTGATACGGGGTTCCTGCTGGGAAGATGGCAGCTGCCCCCAGCCCCAGTTGCTGCATCTAGGGGTTGCACACTCTTTGGTAAATTTCTCTCTTTGGGGACAGGGAGCCCCAGGGAGAGAGAGCCAGCCTGGCACACAGGAGGTGTAGTGGGCCTGGTGTGGCATGATTAACAAGCTTTTTGGAATAATTGAACAAGCAAATGAATGAGTGGTGCTGGGGAAAGAGGGAGCCCGTCTGGGCTGAGCCTGGGGTCTGCTCCCAACTTTGTCATAAAGGATCCTCTGTGTTCCCTCTCTGAGGTTCAGGTTCCTTTTCTATGAAGTGGGGCTTGCGAACTTCGGACCCTTTTTAAAAAATGCAGTCTTATGTGGAAGCTTAACATAACATGAATGCAAGGAGGATGCTCTGGGTGAAGCGGGCGTGGGAGTCTGAGACACAAGACTCTCTAAAAGGCCCCAGTAATTGAGTGAATGTGGTCTTTGCACAAGGACCATTGGAACAGAGAAAAGCCTGCAAACACACCCCTCGTGCATGGTCACCTGACTTATCACAAAGGTGGTGTCACTGAAATTCTGGAGGAAAGGTGTTACTGTGGCTTCAGTAAACGCTGCTGGGATAATTCAGTGTACACTTGGAAAAAAGAAATGAGCCTGATCCCTGCCTCACACCATACACAAGAGTTCATTGATGGATCAGAGACACATATGTGACAGTGAAACAAAGTTCTAGAGCAGTGCTGTCCAGTAGAAGTTTCTGGATGACAGAAGTGCCCTATATCTGTGCTGCCCAGGATAATAGCCACTAGCCACGTGTGGCTGTTGAGTATGTGAAATGTGACTGGTATGACTGAGAAACTGAATTTTTAATTTCATTTTCAATCAACTTAAATTTAATTTCAGATAGCCGCATGTGGTTAGTGGCTACCATGTTGGACAGTGCAGTTCTAGGAAACACAGAGGTCCAGCTGTATGACCTTGGGGTGAGCAAAGCTTTAAACAGCACCTAAAAGTTAGGTTCAGGTTGGTTGAATCAGACCCAGGGGCTCTGAGGCCTGGCCCCGCTCTTCCCTGATGCCAGCCCTTCCCTGACTCTGCCCGTCCTGCTCAAATCTGGGTCTGCTTTGTGTCTCTGCAGAGCTGAGGACCCCGTGTGTCTGGTCAGCCCAGCCTGGATGCAAAGGAGGACGCGGGCGGCGCAGTGAGCAAGGCCTGGTGGCTGCAGCAGTTCAGACCCAGCGTTGCCCATGGAGCTGCAGGCCGAGGGGGCCCCTCCCCATACGCGCCGGCCAGGCTTGGAGAGGCCAGAGGCCTAGGCCCACAGGGCAGGGGGTTGGCAGACAGATGCTCCCCAGGCCGTGGAGTCTCTTGAGTCGGCTGCCGGGTGGGGGTGCCAAGGGAGGAGGATGCCGGCCAAGGGGCGCTACTTCCTCAACGAGGGTGAGGCGGGCCCGGACCAGGATGCGCTCTACGAGAAGTACCGCCTCACCAGCCAGCACGGGCCCCTGCTGCTCACCCTCCTGGTGGTGGCTGTCGTCGCCTGCATCGCTCTCATCGTCATCGTTTTCAGCCAGGGGGTGAGTGAGGGCAGCCCGTGGGCAGGGGAAGCTTCTCCGGGTGCAGATCTCAGCTCTGACACTTTGTACTTGTGAGCTCCTGGGCACATTGTTATCTTTCGAAGCCTGAGTTTCTGCATCTGTAAAGTGCTACGGAGGATATTTAGGCTGGTGGAAGACAGGTTTTTTATTTCAATTTTGAGGTCTAGGGTGGTTTTAGATATTACCCTAATTTGACCAAATGAATTACCTTCACTTTTTTCCACAAAAAACTTGGATTCTGTTGAAGACCTGGGTTAGGGATGGCCTGTGTATCACTGCTTCCCTTCTGGTACCATGGCAGACATCACGAATCAATCCCAGCACTGCTCCCCACGGAGCCTGGCTGTGTCTCAGAATCCTTCTCAACACAGCTGTCCATAGTATCGTCTCTGACGTAGGCCTTACCCTGCTACACCACTACCCGTGTGTGGCTACTGAGCACTTGAAATGTGGCTAGTGTGACTGAGGAACTGAAGTTTTAGTTTTATTTTTAATTAATGTAAATTTAATTTTGAATGGCCGCATGTGGCTAGTGGCTACTGTATGGGATAGCAGAGCTGTAGAAGAAGACATCAGAGACGGCAGGGTGTTGACAGGGTGATATGTGTAACGTGGCTGCACCCAGTAGGTGCTCTGTCAGTGCTACCTGTGTCTCTGTGGATATAAACCGCAGGACATTTGTTTTGGCATTCAGCAAATATTTATTGAGTACCTACTGTGTGCAGCCCCCAGATCAGCCTCTGTGCTCACAGAGCTTAGGGGACCCTGGGAGGAACCAGGTGCTGTCCCAGCTGTGAATCGTCCTTCCTGCAAGCGCCTGGTGTCACCTGAGGAGTCATCTCAGCTCCAGCACCTTCTTTCTTGTCTGGGATGCCTTTACTCATCATTTGCTCAGAAACCTCCATTCATTCTTTAAGAGTCAGGAGCAGTGGCCTCTCCTCCAGGAGACTTTCCAAGCTTTGCCCCTGTGCTCTTGTGCCTGTCCCCTGCAGTAGGCACAGAGCACCCTGGGACCCGGGACAGGGGTGGGGAGTGAGAGCATCTCAGGGCTGGGCTGTGGAAGATGCCTGGGGCCCCGTAGGTGGCTGGGGGACGGTGCTGGTGCAGGCAGCCCCAGCAGAGACAACAGCACAAAGCCTGAAGGTGTTTGGTGGTCTAAAGACCAGATTCTAACACCAAAGAACATGGTGTTTAGAGGGAGCATAGACACTGCCGACGTGGAGGAAGCCACACGTGACACTGCTCTGGGCAGGCTAGGCAGGCTAACCTGGCAGGCTTTCTGGAGAAAGTGACGCCCCTCTGGGGACAGCCGTGGCATGTCTGTGTGTTTGCCCCACCCAGGACCCCTCCGGGCACCAGGCTGTCCTGGGGACGGCATTCTTCACGCTCGCCGTGTTCGTGGCTCTCTACGTGCTGGTGTATGTCGAGTGCCTCGTCCGGCGGTGGCTCAGGGCCTCAGCACTGCTCATCTGGGCCTGCCTTGTGACGCTGGGCTACGTGTTGGTGTTCGACGCCCAGAGCAAGGGGGCCTGCGCGTGGGAGCAGGTAACAGGGCAGGGCACCCCGGCGAGCCTGGGGGCTGGACACCTCCAGCCAGCTGTGCGCCTGGTGACACCTGCCCTTGCTGGGCATCAGGTCCGTTCCGGAGAATGGGCCTGCATTTGGTGTACTGGCCATGGTCCCTTCCCAGTTGGGGGGCTCCAGCAGGATGGCCAGATTCTGATTTCTCTCAGCTCTGCTGTCCTCCGCATGGTTTCATTCCTGGGCAGGCCGTCCCCAGGTCGGGGCAGGCTGCCCTCCCACCAGCTTGCCCACCCCAGCTGAAAGAGAGAGCCCGTTCTCAACCAGCTTGAGGCTCATCGGCTGGCCTGGGTCAGAGGCCCAGCCCTGGATGGTCACTATGGCCAAGGGGTGGTACCTCTGACAAGTGGGGCTGGTCCTCTGACGCTCCCGAGTCTGGGGTGGGGTGAGGCTCGTGGAAGCCATGTAGACTGACATCTCAGGGGAGGGCGCTGTTCCCAGAAGAAGGGGCGGTGTGAGGCAGGCAGGATGGCAGCAGCCAGCTGGAAGGGTGGACGGGGCGGTGGGGCTGTCTGCTGGGTAACAGGTGAGCAGGCCCTGCCCCAGCCTTCCCGTCCTGACCATTCCCTTGGAGGGAGAGCCACGGGGCTGTGGGCACAGGCTGGAGCTCGCTGCGTCCCCGGGGCCGTGGAGTCTCACTCCTGGGGGCTAGGCCTTGGCCCCGGATCCTAAATCAGCTCATAGGAAACGATGAGTAATGATAATGTTGGGCCTGACTCACAAGCAGATTCTGACATCTTCTCATTCCATTGTGTTCTATCGCTGTCTCTTACCACGCAGGGGAGGGGTGGGGATTGACCTGAGGACAGAGGGCGCTGGTGGCCTGGCCTGGCTGCCAAATGGCTCAGGATTCAGGTTTCTGGGGCCATCCCCAGAAGATGAGGGGCTGCGGGGGCCCGATGTCAGTTCAGTCTCGGGCTTGTCCTGGGCCCCAGCCTCACCGCGCCCTGTCCGCAGGTGCCCTTCTTCCTGTTCGTCGTCTTCGTGGTGTACACGCTGCTGCCCTTCAGCATGCAGGGAGCTGTCGTGGTGGGGGTTGTCTCCAGCACCTCCCACCTCCTGGTGCTCGGCGCTGTCATGGGGGCCTTCACGAAGCCCAGCGTCAGCCTGGGGCTGCAGGTGAGGGGCATGGGGCTCTGGTTGACTGAGTTGGTCCCAGAGGCCCAGGCGTGTTTCCAGACAAATGGTCTCAGGCCAGGCTTCCTCTGAATCCACTGGAAAGCCACCCTCGGGCAGGCACCCTGCCCTGAGGCCTGTCCTCTGCTGGCCTGTGCACCCCGGAGGCTCAGCCCCTCGTGGGAGCCCTGGCCTCGGGCCTCCGTCCCGGGCCCAGTGCACCCTTGTAGGGGGAGGGCCTGTCCCTAGGTTTCACCTGCAGAGACCCGTCCTGATGGGTGGGGGGCACCCCTGGGCGCCCTCTCTTGAGTCTTTGTGTTGAGTGAGTGAAACTCATTCATAATCAGTGGTGACTTAGAGATGTGTTGTCCTCCTGACCGGGCCTGGGGTCCACTCCCAGGGGTGGAGGCCAGAGCTCTGGGGGCCAGCGGGGCGCTGTGCCTTCTGTGACTGTCCTCGGCACTCCCCTCAGGCTCTGGGTTCTGAGGGTGATGTGCTCCTGCCTCTCGGAAAGAGGGCTTCCCTCCCCCAGGACTGGCTTCTCTGGCCTCTGGGCCCAAGCCCTTCTGGACCAGGCAGTGACCGGCAGATGCCGAGAAGGGCCTGAGGCCTGTCCTGTTGTCACAGCGACCCACTGGGGGACCAGCCCTGTCTGGGCCTGTTTCCTTGCCTGCCCCAGGAAGGGTGCCCACCTGAGCGGGCTGGAGGTCAGGGAATGGGGCGGGGTGCCATCACCAGCCCACCAAGGGCGCTGGTGCCGCAGGGGCACGGGCACGGGCCCGGGCCCGGCGGCATGCTGAGCCCGCCCTCGGCCCGCCCTCAGCTGCTGGCTGATGCTGTCGTCTTCCTGTGCGTGAACCTCACGGGCGCCTTCCACAAGTACCAGATGCAGGACGCCTCCCGTGACCTCTTCACCTACACCGTGAAGTGCATCCAGATCCGTCGTAAGCTGCGCATCGAGAAGCGCCAGCAGGTGGGCACCCCGCATCCCCCGAGAGCCACAGCCTGGCCCCTGCCCAGCCTCCCTAGCCGTCTCCCAGGCCCCACGCCCTGTGTCCTTTCTCCGTGGATGGCAGATGCTCGTTGAGCGGCGTGTGCGTGGGACGCATGGCTGGACACCCATGCAGGCCTCACCTCAGGGGGGGCTGGGGACACAGAAGGATGTGCCCGGCCGGGTTGGTGGGGGTGTAGGCCAGCAGAGATGGAGGGCGCGGGCAGAGATGGGCAGAGCGGGCAGGAGGGTGGAGAAGGTAGACGTCACCCTGCTGTGCCCCCCACTGGTGCCCAGGAGAACCTGCTGCTGTCGGTGCTGCCGGCCCACATCTCCATGGGCATGAAGCTAGCCATCATCGAGAGGCTCAAGGAGCGTGGGGACCGCCGCTACATGCCCGACAACAACTTCCACAGCCTCTACGTCAAGCGGCACCAGAACGTCAGGTGGGTGGCCGGCCGGGCCTGTGTGCAGTGTCTCCCAGGGGGTCTCGGGCAGGCGGCCTCCCTGCCCTCCTGTCTGGAGGCCCAGACCCCAGCCCACAGAGGGATGGGGGGAGGTAAATCCAGGCCCCTCCCTGGGCCTCAGTCTCCCCATCTGTTTCCCCCGGGAGTGGGATCAGATCAGACTGGTGTTGGGGGAGAACCGATACCCCTCTACATTGTTAAACTCTGTGCACACACATGACTGTTGGGAAGAAAGGGGTCCTTTCAGATGATGCTCAAAGGGGCACAGGACCTCCAAGAGGAGGTGAAGCCCCCGGGGCGCGGTGACTGCCCGAAGCCCCCAGTCCTGACACCTGTCTTCAGCTGTTTCGAAGGCGCTGCAGAATCTTTTTCTTTTTTTTATAAATTTTATTTATTTATTTTTTTCCCCCAAAGCCCCAGTAGATAGTTGTATGTCATAGTTGCACATCCTTCCAGTTGCTGTACGTGGGACGCGGCCTCAGCATGGCCGGACAAGCAGTGCGTCGCTGTGCGCCTGGGATCCGAACCCGGGCCACCAGCAGCGGAGCATGCGCACTTAACCGCTAAGCCACGGGGCGGCCCCGCTGCAGAATCTTGACTGTGCCAACCTGGGTGACTTGTAGATGTGCTGTGAGCCCCACCCTGGGCCTCTGCCCAGAGGCTCAGCGTTACAGTGGAGGCTGGCCCGCTGCCTCCTGTCTGGGCTGTGGTTCAGAACTCATAGGCTTGGAGCTGGGAGCTCGGGTGCAGATTGCAGCTCTGACTTCCCAGCAAGTCTCAAGCTCTCTGAGCCTCAGTGTGCTCCTCTGTAGAATGGGGGTCTTGCGAGGGTAGTGCGAGCACTGGATGTGTGTAAAGGGCTGGGCACGCAGCTTGGCTCCAGGGCGCGTGGAGTCGCATCTTACCAGGGAGTTCAGTTCTGAAGTCTGTGCTACGGTGAAAATCCAGGTACAGGAAAGGAGCAGGAGGTTCTGGGGAGCCCGTGCGCTCTGCCCCTCCCCCTGTGAGACCACCATTCAGTCGTCTGCAGTGATGGGGGCCGGGGGTTTAAGGGCCCCTGCAGACTCCGGGGTTTGCTCTGTTTTGCTTTAACTTGTATTTATGGCTGGGACCTTCTCTCCCACTCCTGCGGAGGCTGAGGAGTGGCAGGGGTGATGAGGTGAGGGCTGGCAGGCGCTCGGGGGCTCTGGACGGATGGTCCCTGGGCTCCTGCAGCCCCGTCTTTCAGAGTCCTGGCTCTGATCCTCCCACTGCCCCCCCAGCATCCTCTACGCTGATATCGTGGGCTTCACGCAGCTGGCCAGCGACTGTTCCCCCAAAGAGTTGGTGGTGGTGCTGAACGAGCTCTTTGGCAAGTTCGACCAGATCGCCAAGGTGAGCCTGCCAGCCTGTGCCTCCCCTCCCCTCTGCACCTGGTAAAATCAGGAGCCCCCTCCCATTGCATCCCAGTGGTGTCTTGTGCCCAGCGCCTTCCCCTCTGCACCTGGTAAAGTCAGGAGCCCCCTCCCATTGCATCCCAGTGGTGTCGCGTGCCCAGCGCCTTGGCTGAATTTTAGCATTCAGTCAGCAGACACTTCTGAGTGCCCCATGGTAGGGTGGATGTCGAGTGGTGGCCAAGGCAGCCAGAATCCTGTCCCCCAGAGTGTGAGGCTGGGGAGGGGGAGACTGATAGTATACATCAGGGGATGCAGGGGATGCAGGGGGGCTCAGGAGCTCAGAAGGGCTCGGGAAGGCTGCCTGGAGGAGGAGGTGGCTTTACTACACAAGGCTGGCAGCTTGGGCTCCCCTGGGAGCTTGGGAGGACTGGAATGGCAGGCCTCACCCAGAGTCTGCCTTTTAACAAGATCCCAAGTGAGTCACGTGGATGTTAAAGTTTGAGAAACCTGAAAGAGACCAGTGAGCAGTGTTCTAGGCAAAGGGAACAGCATGTGCAAAAGCCTGGAGTAGAGAGAAAGCTCCCTGTACCCCTGGAATGAACTTGGCTTCCTGTGAATGGGACAGAGTACCAGGGGGACAAGGTCACAGGGTCAGCTGTGCAAGGACTTGAGGGCGGAGGTGAGGAGTGGGACATGACCTGAGGACCCTAGGGCGCATGGCGGGTACCAAGTGGGGGAAGGCGTTGGGCAAGGAGGGTCCAGGGTCTAGCCGAGGGGAGAGAGGTCTGGAGGGCAGGCAGGGCTGGGCTGGGGTCTCACTGTATGCCTTTGTGAGCAGCAGCCAGCTCGGGGTGTGTGAGAGTGTGTGTGTGCACATGTGTGTACGTGCATGTGTGTGTGACTGTATGTGTCTGTGTGTGTATCAACGGGAGAGGGGCCTCAGTTATTCATTAATTTACCAAATGCTCCTGAGACCTGCTGGTGGGAGCGCTGAGCTCACATGGGGCCTCGGGCCTGCCCTCAGGTTGCTCCCGGCCTACTAGCTCTGTGCTTTGAAGAGGGCTGCAGGGGGTGGGGTGGGTGGTGCTGGGGAGTGCCTAGCCCAGCCTCCAGTGGTCAAGACAGGCTTCCTGGAAGTGGTGGCCACTAAGGGGAGACCCAAGTGTAAGATTTAAGGCTGTGGCTCTCTATCCTGGCTGCATATTTGATCAGGTGGAAAGCTTAAATAAAACACCAGTGCCCATGCCCACACCCATGAGATTTTAAGAGCCTCCCAAGCCTCCCAGGTGACCCCATGCATGGACAATCAATGGTCTAGAACTTGACAGAGGCAAGTTCAGGTGCCACACTAGGAAGAACTTGTCCTGGTCAGAGCTGCTCAGTCATAGGAGGGATTGCCTCACCAGGAGTGGACTCCATCTCAGGGGATGAGCTTCCCATCACAGGGGGTAACCAAGCTACAGTAGGCCAGGGGTGTTCTGGAGAACTGTTCCACCTTGAGTATAGTGGACCCAGTGACTCAGAGGGCTTGTCTAGCCTGGTGCCTTCCTTCAGGAGCTTCCTTCCTTCATGACTTCTCCTGAACCAGCAGGTGGGAGTCCCCAGAAGTTGGGCCATATGTGGGGCAGGGGGCCTGGGTTTCAGGCCGCAGATGGCCCTTTCTCTGCCACAAAGCCCAAGAACCTTCCCTTGCCCTCTTGGACACAGCCCTCCCTCTGTGGCAGGCCCAGGAGGCAGCCCCATTGTACAGATGGGAAGAGGGAGGCCGTGGCAGGTACCAGCCTTCCAGCCGGAGCATCCAGTCCCTGGGCAGAGACAGGCAGGGCTGGTCCAGCGTTTGCTCTTATCAGCAGTCAGAGTCCAGAACTGTAACCTCCTTCCGAGAGCCGGGGTCTGCTCTCTCCGAGGCCCCTGCATTGCATCTGGGCCCGGGCACCTTCTGCCCCCAACACACTCACACAACATGTCCAGTTGGTAAGTGTCAGAGGCACAGTGGATCTGTCAGCCACGCAGAGGAGCAGCCTGGGGCACGTGGCGGGGCTGGGTCCAGAGGGCAGTCTCGCGCCTGGCCCCGGAGGAGGGGAGGGCGGCTGGAGCCTGGAGCCTGTGCCCGGGCCTCCAGGCCCTCTGCCAGCTTCCCACTGCTTCCCGGGAAGCTGCTGTGCTCACTCCTCTCGCCAGGCCTTGGGAACTCAGCGTGTGCCACACGGGGCCCAGCGGGAAGCCGCCGGCACACTCAGATGGGGTCACTGGGGAGGGTTTAGTACGGAGGCGGCTCACAAGGTGTGGCAGGGCCAGGGGCCTCAGGAGGGTGGTGCTCGGCCAGGTCGTTGAGGCTGGGCGGTCGCCCCCAGGCCTGGTGGGCACGGGGTGGGGTGGACACTAGATCTGGAGACAGAGGACACTGGTTCTGGGGGTAGCCAGCCCTTTGGGACCCTGCAGGAGGGAGCCGGGGCGTGAATGCACCCGGCCCTGGCCTCCCTGCCCAGGGCAGCCAGAGGGCCAGGCTGCCTGCTGAGGCCTCCGCGAGGGAGGGGGTGGGCAGTGGGACAGGAGCCTGCAGCTCCTCCTTCAGAGTCCCCCAGGCCTTGGTGTGTGTGGCCACCTTTGCCCAGGGCTTACAGAGGGTCTGGTGGCCCCAGCACGTCCTCAGGTGGAACCTCAGCAGGCTTGCCTGGGCCTCCCCGTCCCCTCCGTGGGCATTTTCCTGTGTGACCCCAGCCTCTCTCCCCGCCCCATCTTTCCTTTCTGCATTCTCCCCTCTCCCCAAACCCTGCATCCCCAGCAGCATAGCCATCTCTTGGGTTACCTTGACACCTGCTGACCCCTTGGCCTGTGGCACCTGCCAGCTCTCTGTCCTCTTCTCCCCTACTTGCTCCACTTCAGTCACTCTGGCTGCTTTGCTGTGTCTCGAACAGCTTTCTGGCCTCAGGGCCTTTGCTCATGCTGCTTTTTTCTGCCTAGAACGCTCTTTCTCCAGATGCTGGCACGGCTTACTCCCTCGGTTCCTTTGGGGCTTTGCTCAAATGTTACCCTCTCTGAGAGGCCTTCTCTGGCCCCCTAGGAACCTCTTCTTCCCTCCCACCCCTCATTTTTCTCCTTAGCACTTATCCTCATTGGGTGTCTCTAGATTTTATCTATCTAGTTCAGTGTCCAGCTTTGCCACCGGCGTGGGAGCTCCATGGCTGCAGGGGTTCGTGTCTGTTTGGCTCACCGCTGTGTCTCGGTGCCTGGGGCGGGGCCAGGCACTCAGTAGACGCTCAAACGTTGCATGAATGAATGAAGTAAAGCCAGTGCCATCTCAAGAGGCACTCGAGTGGCCGCCCTTAGTAACCCTGGCTTTCCTCCCTCATGCTTTCTTGGGGGTCCCTCTGGGAGAGTCCCGTGGCCCCAGCCCTTTGTCAGGCCCAGAAGCTGCTGGTGGCGGGTGCCCCAGAGGAAGCCTCTGGCCAGGAAAGAGCCTGGCTCACCCTGGAGGGTGGGGGTGGTGGCTGGCATGTGTGACCCTGGCCTCCTGACCCCCTGGCCGTCACTGACCAGGCCTCTCCCTTGCCCTGCAGGCCAACGAGTGTATGCGGATCAAGATCCTGGGCGACTGCTACTACTGTGTGTCGGGCCTGCCCGTGTCCCTGCCTACCCACGCCCGGAACTGCGTGAAGATGGGGCTGGACATGTGTGAGGCCATCAAGTAGGTATCACGGGCGGGCCTGGGGCGCTGGGCCTGTCCCCACGGTGGACCCCTCCTGCTCCCAAGGCATCGTGGGGAATGTATTGTCCCCAATTTGCAGATGAGGAGACTGAGGCTGGGGGTGAAGGTGGCTTGCCTGGATCACTCAGCCCGGATCCCTCTCTCTGGGCCCGCTGGGGTTCTGAGTCCCGGAGAGTCTCCGAGGCTCAGAGCTGGGGACGAGGACAGGGCAGCTGGGCTTGGCTCCTCCAAAGACTGAGCGTTACCCCAGCAGGAGGGCTTCAGGGCAGATGGCAGGAGAAACTTGCAGACTCAGGGTCCGAGTCCAAGGCTCCGTCTTCTTCCTGCTCCTCCTGTGAGGACCCCGGAGTCAGGACTGGGCCTCAGAACTGCGGAGAGACCCCAGCCTCCCGGGGCTCCTTCCCACCCACGTCCAGCTTGCCCGAGGTTCTCTGGAGCCCCGAGCAGCTGTGTCTTTGGGAAGCCCCCGCCGTGGTGGCCAGGCGGGCTTGGCCAGAGCAGCCAGTGTTGGGGGCAGAGCAGGGTGTGGCTGGGCTGCCTGCAGGTGGGTAGCTCGAGGGTGTAAACCTGGCTCCAGCTGCTCCCTCCTGAATCTCACCAGAAGTGGCTGGTGCTGCCGGGAAGACCACTGGACAAGGGGTCGGGGTCCGGTCCTGGCTGGGCTCTGCATCACCGCCTGTGTGACCTCGGCTGGGTCCCCACCCCCAGGCCTCAGTTTTCTCGCCTAGAACATGGGAGCTTGTGCAGGGCCCCCTTCTGCCCCGAGGCTCGGTCCACCCCCAGCCCGTGGGTGGACACACGGTGCCGGCTGCTCCTCGGGCCCTCAGCCACTGGTCAAAGGGACCCCGAGGCCCCGCTCGTGTGTGGGGGTGCCCTGTGCCCCAGGGAAGCTCTACCTTGGGGCTTCTGGTACTGAGTGGTGCCAGTGACCCCCGGTGCCTCCGTTTCCCAGAGATGGGGGTGCAGCAGGCCCCCATGTGCTTGTCCCAGTGGGTTTGGGGTGGTGCCTGGGCCCCTCTGCAGACCCCAGCTGGGGCTGCCAGGCCAGGAAACACCAGCGTTAGGATTTTCGGGCCTTTGACATGAGCCACAGTGACCAATGACAGCTGGAATTCCTCCTTCTTTTAACAGCCTTTGATTTTGGGGGCAGCAGCCTTCATTTGCACACTCCCAGAGGTGGGGGGCTCATCCCCTTTTAAGGAGGCAGTCCCATGAGGCTGAGAACGTTCTCCCCTGGGACTGGGCCTGCCCCCTCCCTCACGCCCCCCGCAGCCCTCGCCCTGCCCCCGCCCCGGGCCACACTCGTCCCCAGGATTGCGAGCCTGTGCTAGGGCTCAGGCCCCTGGCGGCCCTGGCTGGGGTGGGGTGACGGGACTGCTGTGCCCCAGGCAGGTGCGGGAGGCCACGGGCGTGGACATCAGCATGCGTGTGGGCATACACTCTGGGAACGTGCTGTGTGGGGTCATCGGGCTGCGCAAGTGGCAGTACGACGTGTGGTCTCACGACGTGTCCCTGGCCAACCGGATGGAGGCGGCTGGAGTCCCCGGGTGAGGCTCCGCGGGATGGCGGTGGGGTCAGAGGCTGGGGCGGACTGCCCGGGGGGTCTGGAGGGTGGTCAGAGACGGAACTAGTGACCTGGCGGCGGGGCCCACCGTGCGCCCCGGTGGGTGCCAGCCCGCTGCTCTGTGTGACGCACGTCCCCCCAGCCGCGTGCACATCACAGAGGCCACGCTGAAGCACCTGGATAAGGCGTACGAGGTGGAAGACGGGCACGGGCAGCAGCGAGACCCCTACCTGAAAGAGATGAACATCCGCACCTACCTGGTCATCGACCCCCGGGTACGAGGGCGCGGATACGGCGGGCGGGGGCGGGGCTGGCTGAGGAGACCCTCGGGGCTGGGACCGCGGGGAGCGGGTCCACACCAGGGGAAGACCCCCGTGGAGGGAGAGCGTTTTTCTCCTCAAGGCTGTGGAGAGGTGGGGAGAGGCCTGCCTGGGTGGGAGTGAGCTCCCCGTCACTGGGCGTGTTCTAGGCTCCGAGTAACAGCTTCTCTGGGCCTCCGTGTTCTTTTCTATGAAATGGGAAAGACAGTGCCTACCTCACAAGGGAAAGCTAATCCGAGTGAAGCACTCACTGCGACCTGGGCTCGTTGTAAACGTTCTAGAAATAATAGTCACTATTAATTTATTTTCCATGAGGTTGTCACTCATCTCCCAGATTTTAGAGACATTTTAAAAATATGTGGGGCCGGCCCTGTGGCTTAGCAGTTAAGTGCCCGCACTCCGCTGCTGGCGGCCCGGGTTCGGATCCCGGCCGCGCAGCGACGCACAGCTTGTCAGGCCATGCTGTGGCAGCATCCCACATAAAGTGGAGGAAGATGGGCACGGATGTTAGCCCAGGGCCAGTCTTCCTCAGCAAAAAAAGAGGAGGATTGGCAGATGTTAGCTCAGGGCTGATCTTCCTCACACACACACACACAAAAAAACACTGAAAATACGCTTTGGATGACACTCAGGAAAGCAGGGAATGGCCAGGGGGCTACCGGGCAGGAGCCTCTGTGTGTCCTGGGTTCTGACCCGCCATGTCCGCCTGTCTGGCCGGTGCCCCCGCCCTCTCAGCCGGCGCCGCTTTCCTCAGGGCCCTGTGGTGGGGGAGGCTGGGCTGCCCCTACAGGGGGCCCTGGTCCTGCCCCCCGCCTGCCCCACGCCTGCCCAGGCCGTTCTTTCCCGGGAGGCCGGCTCGTCTGGCGGTGCTCGGTGAATCATCCTTGGGTTGACATTCTTGCTCAAGAATGTCAGCCTGGCAGGCTCTTTCCAGTTCCCTCTCAGTCTGGCCTGGGCCGTCCTCAGAGCTGGCCCGACTGCCAGGGGGAGCAAGGGCCAGCCTGTGAGCCTCCCCCAGCGTCTGCCCGCTTTCTCTCGGGCCTCATCCTCTGATGTTCCAGGGCCCAGTCCCCCGGGGCACTCCCCTCTGTAGGCCATCGATGCTGAGTTAGCATCTGGGGAAACCCCTCATGAGTACCTCCAGGCTGCTCCCACCCCTCCACCGTGGGATACAGTCCAGCCCCTCACCCTGGACCCCGCAGCTTGGCCCTGCTCACTTCTCTGACCCTCCTTCCTTCCCCCTGAGTGCACTTCACCCCAGCCCATCCTCCTGTCCCCCCCGCCCCCAGGCCCTTTCCGCCGGAGGCCCGTTGTCCCTGCTGCTGCCTCCACTGGAGCCCTCTTCCCTCCCTCTATCTATCCTTTCAGCTTATTCAGTGTGGGCTCCTCGTGGGCAGGCTCGGGGGAGGGGTCCCCCTTCTCCAGGCTGCACCCCTCGTGCCTGGAACAGTGCCTGACACGGAGCAGCGTTCAGAGAGCTTGTGAGCCACCGAAGCAGAGCCCCTAACTCGCAGGGCAGTGGCAGGCGTGGCTCTGAAACCCACGCCCGCAGGGCTGCCAGTTCCGACAAGGACGGCTACAGGACGCCCAGGCAAACTTGAATTGCAGATAACAACCAAGACGTTTTTAGTATGAGCGGGTCTCCTGCAAGATTTCACTGGGCATTCTCTATTTTATCTGGCAACCCGGCCTCCCCCATCCTATTTAACTTTATTCATTCACATGGTTGAAAACTCAGAAGGCATGAAGGACGTGTGGGAGGAAGTTTCCCGCGCATCCTTTTCTGGTCAGCATGTCCCCGCTGAAGGGACCTATACAGGCGGTTTCTCCTTCCATGGGAATGTCTGTGCACAGTTCGGCGGATGGACAGTCTCCCCTGCCCTCCTCGCTAAGCCGGCGGCAGCATCCCCCACCTGTCCGCACCTCGCTCTTCACCTGACGACACACGTGGGGGACCCCCTCTGTGTGCACAGAGCGCGTCCTTGTTTCCTCTCACGACGGCACAGGGATGCTCCGGGGGCCTCCGTGGGGGACGTGGAGGCCCTTTCCCAACCCCGGCTTCTGGATGCTCTGACTCATGTCTCTTGTTACATGTGTGAGGACACGTCGGGGAGGAGTGTCCAGGGGTGGCTGGTGGGGCACCTGTGAGCTGGGGGAGGTTGGGGTGCCCTCCCTGGGGCCTGCTTCTGAGTGGGCACGCTTGTTCTCAGAACCCAGGGCTCTCTAACCCACGTTTATGTCTCAGGGAGCAGGGGTGTCTGGCTTCCCCGCCCTAAGAGAGAGGTGCCAGCGACCTTGAACTTGGGCAGCCAGGTGCTGCGTAGGTGGAGTCGCCTACTGGAGGGGGAGATGGGAAATGTAATCTCCCGCACCGGGCAGGTTGCTCACTCTCGGGACCCTGGGGCTCTCACAAAGGCCGGATTCCACGCAGTTCCCTCTGGCCAGGCAGGCAGACGCCTCTCAGGGTTTAAAAATGTTTCTATCCCGAAAGGAGGCTGGACGTTTCCAGGAAAGCCGCCGTGTGTGGCTTAGCGCGTGCCTGTGGCTGTAGGCGCTGGTCCGTGTGGGTGTGGGGACTCCTGGAGGGCAGGAATGTGGGGGCGAGGGGCCCTTGGCAGGCCTCGAGATGACGCAGGCTTGCCTGTGGCGGCCTTGGGGGTCTTTCTCTTCCCCCCCTCTTGCTCCAGTCCTGCCCATCCTCCCCAGCTGGGTGGTTCTTACTGGGGGAGGAGGCGGAGGAGGCAGCGCTGGGCCCCTCATTCGGGGCCTGGCTAAGCCACCGCGACCGTGGCTTGGCCCTGGCAGGCACGTGGCAGATAATGGACCCATGCCATGATTTGGGGGCCGCACGAGGGGAACTCCCTGGAATGCTGCCCTGGGGGTGGGGCAGCCCCGCCTTGGACGTCTCTCCGTCTCTCCGGGTTGCCAGCCAGCACTCCTTCCTCCCGGCCGCTCCCCACAGGAAGGACATGTGCCGGCCACATGTGGGAGGGCAGGGCAGGATGCCTGTGGCTTCCCTGGGCACCGGCCCCCCGGGCGCCTGCATCGGGAAGGCCCATGCCTTCAGGCCCCAAGGACCGTGTCTGGTTCCCAGAAGCCTCACGGGGCAAGTGGGGCCTTAGGGCTCAGGACCTTACGCCCCTTCTTTCCCTGGGGAGGCGAAGAAGGACGCGAGGGGCTGTCCACAGCCGTGCGTGAAGGGCAGGGCCTGAGCTGGGGCCGCCCCTACAGCCCGGCCCCGCCCGGGGTGCCCTGGGCTTCAGCCGGCCCCGGGGGAACGCAGCCCCAGCAGCTTTGTGGCCATTTTCCCCTTTCGCCAGATAGGCCCGCGCTCTGGACAGCACGGTGTGTCGGGGGAGCAGGTGGGGGAGTGGCAGCCCAGCCGGGTGAGAGGGGAGGGGATGGGACAGGCTGTGTCTGTCTGCCCACAGAGCCAGCAGCCGCCCCCGCCCAGCCACCACCTCCCCAAGCCCAAGGGGGATGCGGCCCTGAAGATGCGCGCGTCCGTGCGCATGACCCGCTACCTGGAGTCCTGGGGGGCGGCGCGCCCCTTCGCGCACCTCAACCACCGCGAGAGCGTGAGCAGCAGTGAGACTCCGGTCCCCAACGGGCGGAGGCCCAAGGTGGGTCCCCCGTCCCGGAGCGCTGGGAGCAGAGCTGGGTGAAGGGGGACAGCGGATGCTAAAGGTGTCCTCCCCGAGCCTGACAGACGGTTGTGGTCCTGCCCTGCCCCGCCTGCGGAGTGGGGCCGGGATGGTCCCTCTCCTTGTTCCCCAGACGGGGTCAGCATTGGTTCGGGATGCCTGCAGCTTGGACAGCCCCTGCCCCCGCCCCATCTATCCGAGAGTGCCCGAGATAACAGACCAGGTCCCGGGAGAGACGCCAGGGCCCTTCGTTCTGGAGAATGATGGTCTCCTCTCCTCCCTGCCCTTCTAGGCCATTCCCCTGCGGCGCCACCGGACCCCTGACAGGTAGGTGTACTGTGTTCCCCCATCACAAGCTGTGGCCTGCCTTTCTGGCCAAGTCTTGCCCCAGTCACCTCCTCCAGGCAGGCTACCCTGACCAGCCTCTGCTAAGGAGGGCAGCTTGGTGAGGCCCAGCCCTGACCACAGAGTTCACTGTGGCTTAGGTCACAGTATTTCTAGGAACCAGCACTCCACAATGATTGAGTGCCTGTCATGTACCCACCTGGTAGCAGGGTCAGCAGGGTTGGTGTGAGGGAACCCTGTGGGTTTAGTGGAGGAGGCCTAGCACTGGGGGTCGGGTTGGGGCTCTGCCCTCTGCCAGGCCTTCACTTGCTTTCTCTGGGCCTCAGTGGGACCTGCCTGTCCCTCCACCATCCTGCGTGAGGCTCTGGGGCCTCCTGCAGGCACCTGGGAGCCCCACTCGGGTGAGTCGTCTCGTCCACACCCCTGCCTCTGGGCAAGTGGATGCTGGCTCTGGGGTGATGCAGTTGCGGGTGTCTGATTCCAGAAGTACGTCCCCCAGGGGGCGGGCGGAGGACGACTCCTATGATGATGAGATGCTGTCAGCCATCGAGGGGCTTAGCTCCACCAGGTGAGGCTCTGAGCCCCCTGCTTGGCCCTGCCCCCCTCGAGTGGGGCCCCATGTGGCCCAGCCCACCTTGTGCCTCACACTGGGTGGCCCAGCTCCAGCTGTGTCTGGGTGGCTCCTTCCCCTCCCTGTGCTGCCTCCCGAGGGTGGCCCCTGCCAGCCACACCCCTCCCTTTCTCCTCCCTCTCCTCCTCCCCAGGGTGGGCCCCTGCCTCCATTCCCTGTCTCAAGGGTGCCCCTGCCCTTCTTTCCCCCGGAAGATGGGGTCCCGCCTCCCCCCCATCTCCCTGCCTGTGTCTGCCGCCCGCCCCACAGGCCCTGCTGCTCCAAGTCCGACGACTTCTACACCTTTGGGTCCATCTTCCTGGAGAAGGGCTTCGAGCAGGAGGTGAGGAACCGGGCTCGAGGAACGGGGGCTCCGAGGCCTGGGGTGGGACGGGGGCGCAGCCGTGGGGTGGCCGACAGTCCCAGATCTGTTCAGGGAGCGGTGTGGGAAAGCGCTCCAGCTGGCTGTTGGGCGGGGCTCCGTGCAGCCCCGCGTGGCCTCTTCCTGCTGGACCCCCCCCCCCCGACAGCCCCCGTCAGTGATTGCCCACTGGGCTGGGCAGATTTCTGCTCCCTTCAAATGCGGGAACCTTGGCTCACGGGCTGGGGTGCGCCTTAGGCTGACGGCATCGGCCTCACAGTCAGGAGAAAGCCCCAGACTTGGCACCAGCCTTGAAGGGACCTGATTGGCCTCCCCTCTGGCCACTACAACGCATGCTTTTCGCACACTAGTGACCATTTGTCTATTTAATGAGCACCTCCTGAATCCTGGTGGTGTCATTTAACCCTGCACAGTAGGCCACGCTGGGTGCTGTTGCCCGTTTCTCAGACTGAGGTTTCAGAGCCATCTGCCTCGGGTGTGGCCTCCCCGCGAGGGGGGCCCCGGCGCCCTGGTGCTGGGACCTCCCTCCACCTCAGCCGAGGATTGGAGGGGCGCCTCCCTCTAGCTGATGCTCCCTAGGGGAGAGCTTGGGGTCTGGAGCAGGTGTGCTCCCCAGGAAGCCTGCCTGGTGGGCCTTCTGCCTCCTGTGTGACCCAGGCAGGTTGCCGGACTCCCCGAGCCTTGGCAGGAGCCCCCGTGGGCCCCATCGTGAGGGGGTGCCTGGCGTGGAGGAGAGGGCGGCACAGGGTCCCCCGCCCGCCAGCTCACGGCTTCGGCCCGGCCTCGCTCCTCAGTGTGGGGTGAGGACATCCCCACCGCCAGCCCCCATCTCCGCAGCCCCGGAGCACAGACTCTGTCCCCACCGCGGCCTGGGGCCGGGAGCTTTTCAGGGCCGGTGGAAATGAAGTGGGGGGGCGGGGCGGGGCGGGTCTTGCCTCTGCCTGTACACGGGCAGCTGCAAAGTGGACACGGATGAAAGCTCCTCGCTCACGACGACGAGCATCATTGCAGCTCGAGGGGGTGCGAGTTGTTTTTAAGCTGATTTACTGGAGGTGGGGTGGGGCCGTGAAAGGTTCAGAGCAAGTGGCCTGCAGGTGGCCTCAGCCACCGTCTCACATTCTCCGTCGCCCCCAGTACCGCCTGGCGCCCATCCCCCGGGCCCGCCACTACTTCGCCTGTGCCGGCCTCATCTTCATCTGCATCCTGCTCGTCCATGTCCTGCTGATGCCCAGGTCAGTCGGGGGGCCAGGGGGGCGGGCAGGATGGTCAAGCCCACTGGGGTCAGGGTGGGAGGGGCAGTGACCTTGCAGGACCCCCCAGAAAGCCTGCAAGGAGCTGCGTGAGCAGCAGGAAGGGGCTGGCTGTCTTGAGCTGCAGGCCTCCCCACTCCCGGATGCCTTTCACCTTTGGAGTCACCTGTTATCTGCGTGGCCGTGGAGGCATTTCGTTTTACGACCCTGGCCTGAGGTGTTTGGGTCCTAGAAGGGCGGACTCCTGAAACTGCAGCTGCCATCAGCTCCCTCTTAGATGGAGGAGTTCATGCCGCATCCGGGGGGCATGGCCAGGACATCAGGAGCTGCTGAACTTCATGCTTCTGCCTCAGGGGCCCTGTTGATGGGGCAGGGACAGGGCGCCAGATCGCAGGGAGAGGAAGATCAAGTCTTGGTGGTTTCTGGAAGGCTGGTTCAGCCAGGGGATCCGCGAAGATTGTGGTTTAGGGTGTGCTCAATAAAGACAAAACAGGGAACACTTTATATGGCACCGGGTGCCGGACGTGAGTCTGCAGGCTGCGGAATCACTCGTTTCTTATATACTTGGCCCAGAAAAGGGGACGTGACCTTGGTCTTGGTCTTCATGTCCTGGCCAGGCCTCGTGTATGTTCGTGGGACAGCAGGACCACGGTTTTCAAAGGTCCCCTTTGCTCAGTGTAAAACAGTAGTTTGAGAGGGGACGGAAGGTGCCGGCGAGCCCGAGAATTGGGGTGCTGGGAGGGGAGGGGACCCCCCAGACCTTGGGTTTCTTCCTCCTCCCCAGGACGGCGGCTCTGGGTGTGTCCTTTGGGCTGGTGGCCTGTGTGCTGGGGCTGGTGCTCAGCCTGTGCTTTGCCGATGAGCTCTTGGTGAGTGGGGAGGCCCCTGACAGCCCGGCTGCGCCCTGCTGGGTGTGGAGCTGTGGTGGGGCTAGCCCCTGCGCACTGCCCCTCCCTCTGGCCCTGGTCCCTCCCCCGGGGCCCTCCCTGGGGAGCTTTGCTGGGCTGAGCCCCCATGCCCCCGCCTGGAGGGCAATTTGCTGAGTGTTCCCGAGGCTTCTCCCAAGAATTCCGCTTTCCCAGGCCTGCTGGTGGTCCCCACGTGGCTGTGGCTGTCCAGGACCCCAAGGATGGGAGTGTCCCTTCTGTCTGCAGGCCAGGCCTGTGCTGAGCTCTGGGCTGGGCACGCCTGTGCCGGCGGACACGCCGTAGGGGAGCTCTCCGGAGCTCTCGCATCTGCGGGGCCTGGGACCAGGCGCTCCCCAGGACAAGGCCTCAGGCAGGCTCTCCCTGCTTGTCCGGCCGGCGCTCAGTGACTTGACCCCGTGACCCCACAGAGGTGCTGCCCGGCCTGGGGGTCGCTCCGGGCCGTCTCCGAGCGGGTGGAGACGCAGCCCCTGCTGCGGTTGTCGCTGGCGGTGCTGACCATTGGCAGCGTGCTCACCGTTGCCGTCGTCAACCTGGTGCGTTCTGGGGGCGGGCAGGTAGGCCCTGGGAAGGCCCCGCGTGCCCCGGCACACTTCCTGGGTGGAGGGAGCCAGTCTTTGACCCTGGGAGCCCCCAGATTCTAGAATCCTATCATCTTGTAACCCTGTCCAGAGCCCCGGGGCGGGCCCTGCGAGGTGCCCACGGCGGGTTGGGGCTCCTTATCTTCGTTCTTCAGAGGAGGACGTGGGGCCCCCGGAGAGCTTACGTGGCCAACCCCACAAGGAAGAGATGTCCTGAACTGCCACGGTGTCCTTGGCATCCGCTTCCTTCTTCACGGCCCCCTGGGGAGGCCCGTCCCCCGCTCTCTGAGACTCAGTTTCCTCACTAGGGAAGAGTTGCCCAGGGCACAAGCTGGGGGGGACACCTGAGCCCCTGCTTCCGGGGCCCCTGCTCCGGTGCTCTATGCTGCAGACGGCTCCGGTCCGCTGCTGGCCGGAGCCGTCTAGAGCCGGGGTCTCCCCCCCACCTCCCTGTCTCCGACACCCTGGGCTCTGTGACCACCTCCCTCAGTGTCCCCTGGGAAGAGGGGACTCCCTGAAAACGCTGACCCCAGCTTCTCCCTCGCCCGCCCCAACCAGCCTCTGATGCTCTGGGGGTGGGGCCCACGTGTCTTCATTTTACACCCTTCTCTCCCCCGCCCCCCGGGAAGCCGACGGCTGCCGTGGAAACTCAGGCACAGCGGCTCTGGCTGTGCCTAGAGCTGGGCCTGGTGGGGGATGCCCGAGATGCAGACACCTCGGGCCCAGCCCTTCCGGCCCCTCCAGACCCCCAGCCCTGCTCGGCCCCAGATCCCCCCCTCACAGGGACCTGTCTCCTCTGCAGCCGCTGATGCCTCTCCCAGCCCTGGGGCTGCCTGCTGGGAACGAGACGAGCCCGAGGGCCGTGAGCAGCAGGGAGAGGACCCTGTGCGAGCTCCTCCCGGTGAGTGTGTCTGGGTGCTGGCCCGGCCCTCTGGGTGCGGCTTGTCCTCACTCAGCATGTAGTGGGGGCAGTGGGGTTTCAGGTGGCTGTGTCATGGGGAGGGAGTGGGGGAGAACTGGGAGATGAAGCTGGAGCTAGGTTTGATCCAAGAGCTTGGTCTTCATCCTGGGGGCCATGGGGAGCCACAGCATGATCTTGAGCAGAGGGGTAACGTGGGCAGAGATGCACTTTGGGAAGGGCAAGCTCATGGCAGAACTCGAGACAGGGAGGCTGTTCAGGCGTGTGCACACCACTGCCCAGACTTCTGTCCCATCCACACACCACCTGCACTTTTATTTACCTTTTTTTTCCTTTAAATGAGTTCATTTGCCATCAATAGAAGTAAGAACACAACATGAGAAAACGGTAGGTTCTGTTGCCCGCTCTCTGTTCAGAAGGGTGGTCAGCAAGGTGAGAGAGCAATGCTGAAGACACTGGCTCTCCACGGAGTCCCCCGAGGGGGAGAGGGGCTCCGTGAGGCAGTGTGTCGGTGCTAAGGTGGCGGCCGCTGGTCTGGGAGGTGCCTCTCGGTGACCGACGTGCCCCCCTCCCCAGTATTACACTTGCAGCTGCATCCTGGCCTTCGTCGCGTGCTCCGTGTTCCTGCGGATGAGCCTGGAGCTGAAGATCGTGCTGTTGACAGTGGCCCTGGTGGCCTACCTGGTGCTCTTCAACATCTCCCCGTGCTGGCAGTGGGGCTGCTGTGGCCACAGCCTGGGCAACCTCACCATGACCAACAGCACCCTCAGGTGGGGCCTAAAGCCCTCACTGCCGGGACCCCAGTCCCTCTGCCCGTCTCGGCTGTGGCCCATTCGAGCACCTTCTGTTTTGCTTGGATGTCATTTCAAGCTAAGGTGTGTCTGCATTCAGTCCCGTCTGGACTGGACGCCTCGTGGGCTGGACTGGCAGGTGGCATGGTTCCATTTTACAGAAGGGGGTTGATGGGCCCAGGGCCCAGTCTGCAGGCCTCAGAGCTAAAGAGTGGGACTCATTTGCAGGTTGTCTGGAGGACGTCTCTGGTCCCACCGAGGGCGCCTGGGTTGTCCCGTCTCTAGGCCAGCCTGGGGTGGGGGGAGGCAGGCTTCCACTCTAGACCAGTCCCCTGTGTGGAGCCGTGTCATAGATCTCCACAGCCTTCTGGGAGGAGCAGTTGTCTCTGTTTGTCCCTGGACAAGTGGGTGACACCTGTGGCATGGGAAGGGCTAACGTGTGCATGGTTCTGGGGGCTCTGGGTCCCAGGGTTGAGGAGAGGGGCCTGGCTCCTCTGGAACTGAAGGGCTGGAATTTGGGGATGGAAAACAAAATGTCCTGTGGGTCTGGCTCGTACCTGCAACCTCCCTCTGCTGGTCTGTGCATCCCTGGCGCCCTTCCGGCTGCTCCCTACCTGCCTGGAGCCTCTCCTTCCCTCTGCCCTGGCTCTCCCTTGTCCTCCGGGGTGAGCGCGATGTCACCTCCGTGGGCCGCCCTCATCTCCCCGTCAGCCTCTACCCCACCACGCTCTTCTCTTTACAGCCTGGAGTCGTCTTGTTCACTTTCTCTGCTGTGGGAATGTGGGCTCTGTGGGCAGAGGTCCCCCCCGTTCACTCTGTCCCACGGGCCGCGCCGAGTGTCTGGGCCCCGCGCCGCCTCCGTGTTCGGGGCTGGGTGGGGACTGGTAACGACTCCTGCCTTTGCCCTTCCTCTCCGGCAGCTCCCCACTCTGCTCGTCATGGGATCTGAAGACGACGATCAACTTCTCCCTGGTCCTGTTCTACACAACCCTCATCATGCTCTGCAGACAGGTGAGGCCAGGATGTGCCCGCCGCAAGCCTAGCTCTGCTCAGCCTCCTCCCTCCCCTCCACCTGGGGGAGCGCGGGGGGCGGCGGGGGCTGCCTCAGATTTTGAGCAGCACGGAAGACAACAGACGGTCCCGGGGGGAAGCCCCGGCTCAGGGGTCCCGAGTCAGTGTCCTTACGCCCTGCATCACCTCCCTTCAGGACACGAGGGACAGTCAGTCCTGCGGGTCACTTGAGAACTGAGTCACGGCTGACTGGGATTCTGAAGCCCTTGGGAGGTGGCTGTAGAGTTGGAGACATTTGCCAGGGTGCAGGGTGGGAGCGCCGGGTTACGACGGGGTGTGCCCTTCTGCCCTCGCTCACGGTGGCCGTGACACTGATCTTCCCGCCACTGCAGATTGACTATTACTGCCGCTTGGATTGTTTGTGGAAGAAGAAATTCAAGAAGGAACATGAGGAGTTTGAGACCATGGAGAATGTGAACCGCCTTCTTCTGGAGAACGTCCTGCCAGCCCACGTGGCTGCCCACTTCATTGGTGACAAGTTAAATGAGGTGGGTGCAAGCAGGGGCTGGCCCCTCGGCTGGGAGGAGACAGAAGGCACCGTGCGGTCTGGCTGAGGTTGGAGCTAAGGTGCCTGCTGAGCGTGTGTCCGTGGTCCGGGCCTCGCCCGCACGCCCAGGAGACAGCGCCTGCTGTCAGCTGTGCGAACAGAGACCTGGGTCTGGGTGTGAGCGTGGACGAAGCACCTCACTTCCCTGGGCCTGGATCCTCGCACTTGTAAAACGGGGCTGACAGTACTTAGCTGGCAGGACTGTCGCGACGATCAGATATATGTCCAGGTATTTGTAATCTGGACAATCTCTGTTGATGAAAATGTATTTCCACCAATTCTGTGTCACAGTGTGAGTTTTATAGATGAGGAAACTGAGGCCTAGTGGGTACAGAACCCAGGTCTCCTGATTGTTCCCAGCTCCTGCTGTACAGACCCGTGTACTCAGAGCCACACCAACCCGAGCCCGCCCCTCCCTGCCCCGCTGGTTCAGACTCTTCTGTCTGTGTCCCCAGCTGCTCTCAGGTACAGCCAGGCTGATGCACTGGCCCAGCCCTCCCTCCCCGCAAAGCTTCGCTGACAGCTGAGTAGCCTCTGCTCCTGAAGCACGAGGATGTGACCCCCGTCTGTTCCCTGTCCCTGCACGAGGCCACGCGGCCACTCCCTCCTGTCCTCCCTGCCCCATGCAGGACTGGTACCATCAGTCGTACGACTGCGTCTGTGTCATGTTCGCGTCCGTGCCAGACTTCAAGGTGTTCTACACGGAGTGCGATGTCAACAAGGAGGGCCTGGAGTGCCTTCGCCTGCTCAACGAGATCATCGCCGACTTCGACGAGGTCCGGCTGTGCCCTGGGTGGGGGGCACGGGGCATCCTGAGCCCCAAGTGACAAATGGGCTGCGGTTCCCTTGGGTGGACATACAGGACACAAATTATAAAAGATATGAATTTGCCTTTTTCTTTGTTCTAGTCAATAAGTATTTTGTTGTTTTCTCCGTGAGGGGTAGCTTGCTAAGACAGATTTAGGTCCTTGTAGCACGGCCTGATTTCCAGCTAAGCCCATGCTATCAACCTGTTCCAGAGGAAGTCAGTGTGGGCTTGACTCTCAGCTGCAAGTAATCGACATGCCTGTGTAGACGCTGCTGAGCTGAGTCTGCTCCTCACAGAGAAGGAGAGGCCAGACGGGAACGGAGGGAGGGGACGAGACAGGGACTGTCAGGGCAGACAGAGACGGCAGGAGCGGGGAGGGAGCCAGGGCCCTGTCCCCACTTGTACCTCGGCCTGAGGAGTATCTGTGTTAGAAGTGGTGGGTGGGAATCCTACCCCTTCTCAGAACCTGGGGTGGGCTGGGCTGCAGCTGTCGCATGGCCTTGCCTCCTTGTCCTGCAGCTGCTGTTAAAGCCCAAGTTCAGCGGTGTGGAGAAGATCAAGACCATCGGCAGCACGTACATGGCAGCTGCAGGGCTCAGCGTCCCCTCGGGGCACGACAACCAGGTACTCAGCGGATCTCGTGGCCTCTGTCCCAGACCCACGTGAGGGGAAATTCAGCAGCCAGTCCCCAGACCTGTCACCTTACTTAAAGGGGGCACCTCCCCATGCCCTGTGCTATGAAGGAAGGGCAGAGAAGCTCCTGACTCAGCCTGGGGGAGGTTTTTGGTGGTGGTGGGGCAGGAGGCCCCTCCCTTGGAGGTGAGCAGGTCCTGGACCCTCTGGAGGAGCCTCTGGCACATCTCTGCCCACCCGCAGCCCCTCCCTGTGGCTGTCAGGCCCATGCTTGTGCACCAGTGCTCACCAGCCCTGGAGCGTCCACCTGACGCTCTGTTGAGGCAGGAGGATGTGGTGTGGCGCCCACGGTCCCCAAGCACAGAGCTCTGTCCCACAGGACCTGGAGCGGCAGCACGCCCACATTGGCATCATGGTGGAGTTCAGCATCGCCCTGATGAGCAAGCTGGACGGCATCAACAGGCACTCCTTCAACTCCTTCCGCCTCCGAGTGGGTGAGGGCCCTGGGCAGGCGGGCCAGGACGGGCTCTGGGTGGGAGATGGCCAGCCCCTGCCTAGCCCACTCGCACATCTATCCGGCATACTTTGCTGTCTGCTATGGAAAGTCTTAGCAAGCCCTCTCTGATCTTACGCCCCCAGGGATTGGGTAATTATTCTTTCTTTGCATAGTATTAAGTTACTTCTGAAAGTTTTAGGTAAACAGGAATATATCACTGCAGAAAAGGGAGAACAAAACATCACAGGCTGTGAATAGATGACCTTAAACTACACTGAGAACAAACCAAGGTATTAATCTGTGATCACTATTAGCTAAGAGTCACACTCAAAGCTCAAGTCTTTCTTTGTTAAGAGGAGATCAGCAGATACCAGGAGAGTAACATCAGGCCCAGACATCTCGAGTAACGCAGTCTGGAAAAGAACACGCAGGGAGGGCCCTTCTCACATCCTGAGAGTGGTCTCCGTCAGAGCTGGGAAGCGCAGGTCCAGCCTTCAGTTCAGTTGTGTTGTCAGTGCTCTGTGTTGTGAGTGGAGTCTGTGGCCTCCCCTAAGGGCAGAGGCCCCAGGCTTTGCCTCTGAGTTGCAAAGTTGCCAAGTGCAAACATTATCTTTAGGCATAAACCACGGGCCTGTGATTGCTGGAGTGATTGGGGCACGAAAACCTCAGTATGACATCTGGGGAAACACAGTCAACGTTGCCAGCCGCATGGAGAGCACTGGGGAACTCGGGAAAATCCAGGTAAGAACCCACCTGGGGAGACCCATAACCCGGGGGAGAGAACTCCCCAGAAGTGCGAGGACCTGGGCAGCAATCAGCCATGGATTCTACCATGAAGGCTTGGAGGGAACCAGACATGTACACTGCTCATTGGCCCATTTCTGTGTGTCCCTCTCACAACACATTTTCCTCCTGCTTCTGAAGACTTAGGTCTCCTTTCCTTTTCAGGTTACTGAAGAAACAAGTACCATCCTCCAGGGCCTAGGTTATTCTTGTGAGTGCCGCGGACTGATCAACGTCAAAGGCAAAGGCGAACTGAGGACTTACTTTGTCTGCACAGACACTGCCAAGTTTCAAGGGCTGGGGCTGAACTGAGAGGGCTTTTGGTAGATGCAGAACATGCTGGAAGCCAGTTTCCCTCCCTGAAGCAAGCCAAGAGGAAGAGCAGCCCTACAGCAGTCTCAAAAGCATCCCAAGGGTTTGGCCACCACCCTGACAGACGGCGGTGCCTGGCTTCCTTGGATGGGCACTAGAGGATTTCTCGGAACGTGCGCCAGAGCCTGGCTTGAGGCGACCACTGAGCCTTAGCGTGCACAGGTGGCCAGAACCTCCACACCAGCGGAATCTACAGCACAGCCTCCAGCACAGCAGGAAAGGGCTCGTTTGTGGGCTTCAGACCCTCGTGCCCCTAGGTGCTGTGGAGGAGATCGGAGAGCACTGACTTGAACACACATTCCCCTCACCGAGCTGCACAAGGGAGACTCGTCTTTTCTGGGTACAAGACCGAGACAAGTTGTCCATCATGGGTTGGGGACCCCTTCTCCCAGTGGACCAACTACAGGATTCTCCACTTCTCACACAAGCATTCGGGTAAAGAGAATCGGAAAGGGTGTTTTAAACCTATAAAAGGTTTCAAGCAGTAGGGAGAAAAACCCGTGAGGGACGCTTGTTCTTTTTTGCCATCTCTGGCATATGTTTGTTTTAAATGGATACATTGCTAATGGAGGTTTTATCCTTTTAAATGACTTCTTAGGAGCTAGACAAAATATCTTCCCTCCAGTATATTCTTTGCCTTTTTAACCACTGACACATAAGCAGGACTGCTGTCCAGTGCCGGCTTATGGGATTAGCCTGGCTGTGGACGGAGCTCTGAGGAATGTGGCTCATGGCAAGGCGGCAAGAAGCGACGTAGCCGTGGCTTTGAATCACACCACTTTGATGCCAACATTTTGAGGTTTCAGAAAAGCCTAGAAAACAAGGCACCTCCTCTGAGCCCTTCCCTGACCACTCATGCATTTTGAGTATTCCTCTGCAATCTTCAACTATACCTTAGTCTTTATATTGGGAAGGAAAGGAGTCTGTGTAGAGAGAACTTGGACAGCCTGTAGTATTCTTTCCTTTTCTTTAGTCCTCATCACTAACTTTGAAGCCCTTCAAAAGTAAAAGGTCCTACTCAGCATCAGCACGTGTAGAGGTTCCTGTATCTGGGAAGCCAGCAGCGTCACAAATGCTGAGATGGTCTTGTTCTGAACCGAGTGAACTAAGGCAAGTGCACAAAGCCAGGCCTGTGAGATGATGTCTTACAGTGCTTCACCTCTGAAAGAATCAAAGCCAGCCTACATTTCAGGGTGAGAAATAAATGCCCCTTCCTTTTTCTGAATTTAAGAGCATCCCAGGATTGCTATTACAGTTGAATTTCGCTAGATAGCAGTGATTCTTAGCCGGAAGTCCTCTGTGAAGCCTCTGAAATTATACCGAAAATCTTGGGTACAGGAGACTTCAAAAGAGCTGACGGGGCTGCAGACAGGTGACTAAGCAGCCAGGTCTGCCTGGGATGGAGGGTCTGGGACGAGTGCCACCCTGTGTGCAGCCAAGGGCAGGGAGGGGGACTGAAACAGATCTGCTGTCTGCGCGTGCCGTGTCTTGCTGTGGGGCTTACCAGCCCCAGAAGGGGCGTATTCTAATTTGCACGAAGGTGCTGGCTGGGCTAGAGGCAGCTCTGATGTGCTGCATGTAACTGGAATAGGTCTGAATATGAACAAATTACAAGAACTTGCTGTGTAAAGGAACTTAACGGCAAAAACGCTGGTAAGGGAAATAATCCTTACTGAAATTGCCTTTTTTTTAACACTTTTCGTACAAAGGGCTGGCTTCAGGTAATGCTGTACTAAACTCTATACTCTTCAGTCAGCGGTGACCAGGGCTGCTCAGCAGGGCCCCCGGGAAGTCAGCAAGGCTCTGTCGCTGCTCCAGGTGGGCGCGAGTCTGTGCTGGGCCTCTCTGAGGTGGACGTGCAGTTGCTTCTTTTCCTCCAGCAACAGAAATCCCCATGGGGAGTTTAAAAAATCAGTTGCCATTCATGTATTTTTCTTTATTTCCAATTAAAGCACTGAGCTCGGAAAAGAATATTCTGTAAGTTTTTCCTTTTTGATGTTTAGATCATAGTGTGTAACTGACCATACAAATCACTGCAGTTATTTTTTATAAATCTGTTTTCCAACTACCAAGCCATTTCCTCATCGGTGTCATTTTGTTTTATGAAAAGACAAGTATCTTTTCTAACAAACGCTGACCTTCTCTATGGGTCAAGGACTTGCTTAAAATTTCTACTAAGGCAGCCTTACTGACTCCAGTGAAAATCACACCTGAAGTTTTCTGGTTTACTTATTAGGAAACGTTCCTCACAGAAAAGATGATCATTAACCACTGTGTGCATTGTGTATATAACAGGTGAATGTACAGAAATATGCTTTGAGAAGGTACATGCAAATAACTAGGGGTTATTCTGTATACTGAATATTTATAGATCTGTAACACTTGTTTCAAAATGTATTTCATTTTTATATTTCATTTTTATAAAGTGCCAGTGTTTCTACTTTGTTTAGCTTTTAATACATTAAATTAGCAATTTGGAAAACCTGAATGTCCTAAAGTGTTTTGAATTTAAATGTTTCTTTGATCTTCAGGAACTTACCTTAGCTAAACAGATCTAAAGTTTAAGAATCGATTACTGCCTGAATTATATGTGAGAAATTAAACTGTAAAAACACTTGATAAATACAGATTTGAACTGATTTTTTAATTCTTTTGGCATATGATTTTAAGTAGGTTTTAAGGGCCGGCCCCGTGGCTTAGCGGTTAAGTGCACGCGCTCTGCTGCTGGCGGCCCGGGTTCGGATCCCGGGCGTGCACCAACGCACCGCTTCTCTGGCCATGCTGAGGCCGCGTCCCACATACAGCAACTAGAAGGATGTGCAGCTGTGACATATAACTATCTACTGGGGCTTTGGGGGGGAAATAAATAAATAAAATCTTAAAAAAAAAAAAAAAAGTAGGTTTTAAAAAGATCAGGTCATCTTAAACTCTCTTGAATCAATTTTCTTTCACCATGCTTTTTCTTGCTAAATGTTGGTTTTCAAAGTCCAGATTATAAAATAAAAGGGTGCCCTGCCTGGGTGTCTCACAGAAGGGCTTCGTACAGTCTGAGTGGGTCTTAGACTCAGGTGTTTCCTGAGCTAGGTCAGTCTAGTGCCTGGTTACAGAAGAGGACCGCCTGTCCCACGGTCCCCACTCAGATAAAGAGCTGCTCGGGCACTTGACCTTTGTGTCTCAGATAACAGGAGCTGAGTGTTGGTTCAGGGGCACGCTGGGGCACAGGTGACCCGTGAGAGGCAGTAAACAGAAACGGAAACTTCTCTTCAAGCTCCGGGCTTCCCTTATATATTCACACATCTGTGAATTAGTCTATTAGCTTATTTGGCTTATCCTTTTATCATAGTTCCAAATGACTCTCTCAAAAATGGAAAAAATAAACCAAAAAGGAACACCAGACAGGTCAGTGCTGTGAGACTCCTGGTGCTTTTCTTCTGGGGAGGGTGCCGGGGGGGCCCAGTCACCTAGTCCTTCTCCCCAAGGACATCGTTCCATCAGGTGCACAGGGGACATACAGTCAACTCTCAAGTATTTTCAGTGTGTTTGTTTTCACGGTATAACACTGGAAAATCTCACTGGATGGGGATTTTTAAACAGTCTCTTGTTATGGTCCTATCTGTGAAACAGGAGGAGGAAGCCTTTTCTCTGTTCTGAAAGGACTGTGCCAGGTCGACTCCTGCTTTCTGCTCAGCATGCAGCAGGTCAAAGTCTCACTCCCTCCTCATAAGGCCCCATTTTGCATAAATCATCAGGATGAAATCTGCTAAGTCAGGCACTATTTGGTTATAACTGCTTTGATTGGGAGCGTGGCCAACGTGGAAAAATGAGGGATTTCAATTATTTGGGGGACTTGCTTCTTTTAATGGATGGTCACGAAAAAGGCTGTTTTATTTTCTGAGCTTATCTCTTTATCGCTTCATCCTCAGATTCAAACCCAGGGAAAGGTTAAGGGGTAACTTAGCTGATATGCACAATACAGCTCAGAGTCCCAGGTTCAGCTTTATTACCTAATAGAAGCCCAATCTCTGGAACATTAAATTAATTGTTCCAAAGTTTAATTAAAAACACAATTTACAAATATTTAATATCTTCTGAAAAGCATTTCCAAGTTAAGAATGAAAAAAATATATACATAATATATAATCAAGTACCAGTTAGCTTCAAATCCCATCAGGTCCACACTCAGCAACATCAGTCTTTCTGGGTTCTTCAAAATCTGAAAGAAAAAACCACCACTTCCTTCAGCACTTTCTTCCTTTAAATTAAAAAAGGGATGTGAAGGTAAAGGTAGCGTCCAGAATAATAACTGTTGACAGTCCTTTACCACGTCCAAGGTTAAAGACTAATTGCATTAGGCTATCACTGTAGCTTTTTTGGCAAATATGTGAGATCTTTATTAATTCTTTAGATTAGATGGAAAGAAAACTAAAAGTAGTTTATACATTAACAACACACAGAGACAAAACTTCACATGTTACTTGAGAGGAGAGGACTGATGTTCCTTTCACTCACAACAGCCCTCCACTCTCCCGGAGACAGGGGGCACGTACCTTCCGTTAAATCGACAAGGTTGTTTTCTACGACAGGGGAGGGGATGGAAATCCCCATTGCTTTTCGAACTCCATACATGCTTACAATATCACCTGGAGTTACTTGCTGTGCAAGCTCTTTAAGATTATTCGTCACTTGTTCAGCTAGAAAGAAAAAAAATGAAAAACAGTTCTAGGTATTAAAATGTGGTTCCTTTAGATAATTAAAATCGAAAGAATAAATATATAAATGCAGAAAATCCACTGTCCCTGGTGTTCACTTCAGCGTTCCTTTACAGTGGTATCACTCCTCAACTCATCCCGACCCTTCTACCGGAGGGGCAACATACCGAGATGCATCTCCCTGTATGAGGGACCCAGGAGACAGATGGTGTTGGGAGGGGGTCTGGTGCTGAGACGCTCGTTCTGGGCTTCCTGGAGCTCCCTGAGCAATCTGGTGGTCTCGTCAAGTTTCTTCTGGAACACTTCAGCTTCTGTACGGTAAGAAAAATAACACACTAAAGATAACATGGAGATACTTGTGTTTGATCTTTTTCCCTCCACTTATTTTTTTTTACTCTTTCACTCTTTATTTCACTCATGATATAAACCCATAGTAACAGAATGTGAATCCTTATGATGTGATGCCCATGGTCTCGGTGTCCCCAGCATTTCTGTATTCTCTGCTTCTAATATATTTGGGCACAACCCGGTAATTTAATGGCTTCCTGTGATCCCTGGGAAGTTCCAATCTCTAATTAAATTTTAGACAGGA